TATGTTTTAGTGTGCAAAATTAAAATTGATTTAGCTGCAAACTCTTACTCAATCTTCCACATAGAAATTGATTTTATACTTTTTTATGCTTGTGAAAACAACTTTGGCATTCTCACACACAAAGTTTTGAACTCAAATTTGCCTAAACCTTCCTTGAACACAATCTTGGTTGTTTTGCCATATCTAACAATGTCACCTGCCTTGTATGCGACAGATGATGCCACATCACCTAGCCACCTCGTGCCACATTACATGCCATATGTTTAGCAAATGACACCACCTTGTGACACGTCACCTGCCACATGTGTGCCTCCTTAAGCCACCTCACGTGCCATGTCACTACCACATGTTACATCACATATTTGTTGCAAAATATGTCAAAACTAAAGTTTGAACCATGGATCTCCCATCTTCAAGCCTTAAGTTTCCCTTCTTTGTCAGTTAAATTAAAATGCACCTGCAATTATTATATGTAAAATTAAATATGTATTATTTAATATATATACATATATCAAATAATATATTATTAAAAATATATACATATATTTTATTTTATTTTCAATTACTAATATGGAAAAATAATTTATATGAATATTTAAATTATATTTTTAAAAATATTAATTTTTACTAGTAAGTATTATTTTGTTAGGAAAATAAACTTAAAATAAACAAATTTTAAATATTAAATAATATTATATGCATGGTGACCAATTTTTAAATTTTATTTTTATTTTTAAATGAAAATTATTAAGTATATAATTTATTTGTAAATATATATTATATTAGTTTATGTTAAACATCTTTACTTTGCTCATTTTACAGAGGGCTCCTTTTGCATCTTTAATTACCTACCACCTTGGTTAGCTGAAAGGGATAGATGATGATTGATTTCTTGGCTCTCTTTTTGTAATTTGTTTGTTTTTGGGCTGTTATCTTTTTCTCTTGTAATGCATTTCAGTTTTATCCAAAAAAAACATATTTTACTTTTTTCTTCTCCATATTTTTCTCAAAAATTAATAAACTAAATGATTAAATTTTTATCTTCTCTGAAAATGGTTAAATGTTTCCCCCTCTTTTATTAAAAATATATTGTATCTACAATTTTTCAATATCTTCAAAAGTTATTTTAATAAAAAATTAATTTCAACCATATAACTTTTGTTAATAGACATTTTGAATAATTTTGAATTTTTAATAAATACTAATAACTTTTACAATACAAGATAATTACAAGGATCTCATATGTGATCACTCTAGTTAACCTCAATCTAATTGTTCTCCATCTCATAGCAATGAGCATTTGAATAATTTTTCATATTCTTCTTTTTAATAATTAGTTATAAAAATCTTATTTGTAACTTTTTTTTATAACAATGGAAACCTAAAAACACTATGCAAAATTATATGAAATCCTTATCCAAAAGCCATTAGAGTTTAGCAGAAGAAGTAAATATCATGTGCATACCAAGCTAAGTATAAAGTGCACAATATGCTAAGCAGTCTGCAATATCATTTGCATCTCGTGACATCTGTATAACTTTAACGTTCCAATACCATTTATGTATTTACATGTAAGTAATAATTGATGTATAACTTGACCTGATTATAATTAAAAGTTGTTAACCTCTGGAATTTCAAGTCATTTCATCACATTTTCCTTAGATTATGATATATTTTATCTCAATTGTATATATTTTGATTGCCCAAATTAGGAAAATATACCTTTTATTTTGAGTTTGCATGCATGGCTTTCATTTGATATTTTTAGGCTAAATTTGTGTTATTTTGGTGTAAGGTTTAATTAGTTTTATTTCTAGAATTTGTTAGTGCTTTTGAAAGGCCTTTGGATGAAGAAATCAAGTGCATAAAGGCTAAGTTTCGTTAACAGTGAAAATAGTGCAAAATTGTCAAAGTCATCCCAAAGTCGCAACTTTCATGCTGTCAGCAAAACGCTCTATCTAATTTATTTGAAAATGCTTGGGTAGGATGCATATATGCTATGAGCTCAACTTAGAACACATTCTACACACTTTTAGGAACATTTGGAGGTTGGTTGTACTAGGGTTTGGACATTGGAAGGGTTAGGATCAAGAGATAGAAGCTTTGAAGACATTTGAAGCTCATTTTCTTCAATTTTTCTATTCCTCTTCCCTTTCCTCTCTTGTAATTTGAAATGGGTCTAAATATTTTGTGTATTTGTAATTTGTGAAATCTTATAAGTAGCTAAACTCTTTGTTCTAGGATTATTTAGAACTCTTGTATGGATTTACACTAAGTTCCTTCTCTCTTTTTGTGATTAATGATATGTGTGTGTGTGTGTGTGTGTGTGTTACTCTTTTCTTAATGCTTCTAAGTGTTTGGCCAACATTTAGATGTTGGGTTCACTTGATTGATGCTTAAAAGGGCTAGGTTAAGTGTAGAACTTGGTAAAATAATGCAAGAAACTTGATATTTGCATGTTGAATGGATGGTTTTACTAGTAAGATAGAGATATACTTGCTAGCCTTACATAGCCACATTAGGGTTGGTGTCTAAAATTAGGTTTTATTAATTGTAACAATAGATTGAACAATTATTTTAACTAAATACTTGTTTATGACTTGTGAAAGCTTGTTCAAGTATTTTTAGAATTCTAGATCAGCACTTATTTTCATTAATAAAAGCATTTAGGAGAGGACGTAATCTTAATATTATGAAATGCAAGGGGGATAAATAATCCTAGGTCCCAATTTGTGCTTAAAGTTTGTGAATCATTATCTTTTCTTTAATTTCTAGTGTCAATTTAATTTTCAAAAATCGACTTCATATAATTATGTTTTGGCTCAACTTAATTGAATGTGCTTATTGTTTTGTTTGATCGTTGTTTTTAAACAAATCTATGTTGGAATGATACTTTATTAGCATTATATTACTTGTCACGACCTGTGTACTTGTGGAGCGCAACAAAAGTAATAACCCATCAAGGTTTTAATTTATCATATTAAAATACTAACTTAATAATATAATTCTTAAAAAACATGAACTATATATGTCTAAAAAAAGATTGTGAATAATACAAAATTTAAAAATAATTTAATAATTAAACTTAACACATCTTCACCATTATTCTTTTTGGTTTATGATCCTATATATCATTTATTTCTAATTTTGTATTAAAATAAGAAATTTAATTTCATAAATATCTTTTGAATGATTTTCTTTAATTTTAAAATTTTAAAATAATTCATAAGAAATTTTTTAATAATTTAAATGATAATTTTATAAATTACTTCATATATAATTTAAAATTATATTTAAGCTTTTAAAAATACTTTTAGTTGGTGGCGACAAAAAGGGACTTTTGGCAGCAACTTTGATTTGTCGCCGTTAAAAATTATCACCTAAAGTTTTTTTTTTTTTGTAGTGCAAATTATTAGTGCTTTATATAGAAATTAACACATCAACCTTAAAATATTCACTAGCTTCTGGAATGTATGACATTGAAAATACTATTATTTGTGATGTACTCGATCAGATTATATTCCAAAGTCAACTATTTCATAGTTTTTTTGTTAAAAAAAAAATAAAAGTCTATTTCATAGTTTATGCTTATCGGTCTGGAGATCCGATCTTTGTTTTTGTACTTCTAGATGAGTTTTATAAACGATGTCTTATTTTAAATCATCAGAAGCAATGTCTTATTTTATCATTTTTTAATTAAATTTGCCAACTAGGTTTAATCATTGATATATAAGATGGAGTTTTTCTTTAAGAAAATCTTAAACCTCATTTACATATCCATTACATTTAAGGAAAACTAGAATAATTTGGCCAAAAGAAAAAAAGAAAACTAGAATAACAAAAATTCCATTATCATGATAAAATCTAAATATAAAAAAACGCCGATTTGATCAACCAGATCCAGATCATGAGAAATGAAACAACCAAATTGATCAATTATTAAATGCAAATATTATCCTTCTAAGATCCCTCATTTTGTAGAGATATTCAATAACGAATCTAGAACCTTTTTTTTCCTAGGTGGAAGGGTATTAAAAACAAAATACGGAGTGAGGTCTAAATCTATTTTAAATGGATCAGTGTTTGTCCCCATATACATCCGTCACTGTAGACGTACTATGCCAAATAAACTATACAACAAATCAACAATCAATCATATTCATATGTTTAAAAATATATTAACAATTATAATTAGCGAACGAGTCAAATCATAGGATAATATTTATGTATATATCATGTAGTACCAAAGACTTGGAACTAGTCTTCAGCCCGGGGAAAATAGAAAGACTTGTGTATAAAAAAAAAGACAAAGACTTAGTTCTCCTTTTGTATACTGAGTTTACCATAATTTGTCTCTGACTGAGTCGTTTGTGATGAGTGAGTTGTTCCACATGATATAGACATGTCGAGAGAATTACTCTGCAAGTAAGTTTTTAGTCTCAGTGAAGGGACTATGACTACTTAAGTTTGAAGTTTTAAGTTTGAGTTTGTATGCCTGCAAAATTTTTTTTGAAAAAATCATCTTTAATTTAACTTGACAATATTCAAGTCTGATATAATCAGATAGTTATATATAAAAAAGAAATAATTACTCTTAAATCCCGCACCCAAATATTGTTGATATGCCTAGAGGTAATTTAAGATGTTGTGTGGAATTTTCTCAATAATAAAAGTATATAACAATCCCATCGATATCCATCATCATTCATCAATCTCCCTCAAGATAAAATATTAAATTTATAAATTATACTACCTGTAATTTTTACATTCTATTTTGATGTTGATACAAGCTCTTCTAAATTCATTGAATTATATATCACCCAAACTTAAATAAAAGTGAAAAATAGATAGTATACATACCAATGCCATACACGTGGCCTCTTTAATAGAGACCCAAACCTGTGCTGTGCTGACAATGAGACGCATGGGTCCCACGTATCTATGTGTTTATTTATACTCACTCCATTTACTACTTCTCAAAGCAGTGCAATTGCAAATCATTAATGCTTCCCAGTTCATTTCTCTTTTCCGGTTCCTCTAAGCTTCAAAACATGAAGAACACGCTGGCATGGATTCCTGCAGTTCTGGTTTCCCTCATCATTGTTGGTCGCTCAGCACAGTTTGCTGCAGATGGTGATTATTCAGGTAAGCTCTTGGCAAGCCTTTAATTTAAAATATCAAAGAGGAAATTGAATATACTTCTTTAGTTATATTTATTACTCCTTCCATTCCAAATTATAAAATAAATATTTTTGAGAGATTCAATATTTCAAAATATAAGACACTTTGAGAAGATTAAGATTTCATTAAATAATCTTATTCCAATATTACTTTTTCTCCCTTTCTATTTAACTTTTGTCCCCCCTCTCTTCAATATATTAACTGAAGAGTATTTGAAAGCTTATATTTTTTATTTTGAAAAAAAAATAAAATTATTAAGTGTATTTAATGAAGTTAATTTGTATGTGATATTTTATCCAAAAGTATCTTCTAATTTGGGATGGAGGGAGTACTTATTAGAGTTGGTAATTCGAGTAAGCCCGAATAAGCTTGACAAATGGATTTGGGAGTTTAGAAAAATTTTTGCTTGCTTCAAGCTTATTTGGGCAGCCCGAATAAGCCTAAAAAATCCAAACCAAAATGAACTTAGTCTGAATATCCAAATTCTTTTTTATTATTAATAAATTATAAAATTAATATTCACTTCAATTTTTACTTACTACTTAAAAACCTTTCCTAGACTCTCAGTTTGCACATTTCGCACCGGAAAATAAAGTTTTAATGTTTAATGACTATTTATTTTGAATATGTTTTGAAAATATTAAGGAAAAATAAATATAAGAGGTTACTTCATATACTTTCATTTTTACTCTTTCAATGCTTGGTCTCATGACTGTAATAAGAATAGGAAAAGAACATTGTGTTGTGGTGGTACATTGCTTGAAAATTTTTACTTTTTTAAAATAAAGATGAATTTGACCAAAAAAATAAAATATATTTAACAATTTGAATATTTAAGCTCAATGAATTGAACCTAACCCAAATAAGCTCTACTCATTCAAATTACTAGCTCTACTATTTAAGGGTAGAGAGACTATGTGTTTTGGTCTTATAAGGCACCTTAATGATTTGTATCCATCTTTATCCTTTTACCCTTATTAATTATTGGGAGAATTATTAAATGTTAGATTATTTTTATTTTAAAGTATGTATATTTAATTTAATATATGTAAAGTTAGAAACTTATTGAATTTTAGACAAAGTTAATAAAATCAAGGTTTTCCTTAGTTTCAGTGAAATTTGTTGGAAGTAACATATAAATAGAAGTAGAAGAAGTATGTATGTAATGACTTACATGGTAATCCCAACCAACTACAATATAGGGTATCTTTTGGTTAGAAGCTTTACTTAGTTCAAAATATAGGGTATTGAGTAGTTTTTATAATTATTCTTTTAATTATACTACTAATTTATTTATTACTCTTTCAAAACAATTATGTATTGAAATTTCAATTGTCATTACTAAGGCACTTATAGAGGATATTTAATGAAGATATAATTCAAAATATATAAAAAAATTAAGAGATTATGGTTTTACTTAACTTTTTGAGAATGGTGAAATAGTTACCAATTAGCATAGAGATTTCATTAATGATGATTTTTCATAGATTTATAAAACCCAAGGATCCAAACGCTTTTTTTTTTTTAAAAAAAAAAATTACCTTAGTTTGAATGTAGTGAAAAATAAAGAGGAGATAAGCTAGAAAGTAAAACTTTAAAATAATAATATTTTATTATTTTTGAAAATTTTCCCTCCTATTATTTTCTTCTCTCTATTTTTCTCTACATCCAAACCAAGCCTAAGAGTGCGTTTGGGAGTAATGTCATTTTTCTGTTTTCTCTAACCTTTCTATCACTACCTCATTTGTGTTTGGTTCAACTGTTCAACGAGGGGGAGGGTAATGGAGTTAACGATCACTTGTTTGGATTGATTGAAAAGGATGAGAGCTAGTAATAAATTAACAACTTTATACTTATCAAATTTAAGTTATGTTTTATTTTTTTTGCTTTGATATATTATCAAAAATAGTTATATCATAATCTAGTAATTTCTTATTCTAGAATGTGAATATTTTCAACTTTAACATGTTTTGATAAAATACATTAATATTTTTTTGTGAAGAACCAATACATCGATATTACAATATTTTAGTGTTTCTAATGAAAAAAATATTAAAATTTTATACATTAAAAATTATATATATTAAACTTTGTTATGGTGATAACATTCATTTTTATTAAAGGACGAGTGAGATGAGGAAAAGGCATATTTTTTCAACATCCAAGATGATTTATAAATTTTAAAATTAAAAGGGTAATTTAGTCAATAAATATTTCTCTCTCATCTCCCCTTAAAAAAAAAAAAAACCTCCAAATTAGAGGAGAGTAAAGAGCTTAATGGCTTATAATTAGCGCTGGGCTCAAAAGCCCTTTTATAAAAAAATGTGTTAATTTTTAGAACTAGAGCTTATAAAAAAAGGGTTTAAACGAGTAGCCTGACGAGCATGACTTATATTCTTGCTTTAGGGCTTATAAGAATCAGGTCTAATAGCCCTTGTATACAAAAATTCCTTTTTTCTAGGCCTGACCTTTTAAAATATATATGGTTTAAATGGACAGTTTGAAAGACCCAACATTTATTGATGGCTCTAGAGGGAAGGAATAGGGTATAAGTGAAGGGAGGCAAATGCAAGTGAAGGGAGGCAAATGCATCCCCTCACTTTTACAAAAATTATGAATAAATTTATTGTATAGGTTTTTATTATTTTACATTCATGCCCTTAAAATTTTGAACAAGTTATCCTTAACTCTTAATATTTCGCACCCTAACCCTTGAGTTTTAAAATTCCCACCCCGCCAACCTAGTATACTGGCTGTGCCGCTACAAACAACACCCCTCACCTAATAATTTTTGTTTTATAATCACTAAATTATTCTCACTTATTTTCTTAATTTTAAGATTACCCTTTATGACATATCCCAAAAATAATTAGTTTCTCACCTTCTAATCCAATTACAAGAGAGCACTAAACCTGAATTATTAATCATGATAGTAGTGTTGATTAAACCTAATTGGGATAGCTGCTCTTTCAGTCCAAGGAGATCAGATTATAGTCTCTGTTGTGTTGGTGATAAAAGATAATCATGGTCCCACAAGAAATATATGAAGGTCAAATTAGACATATGAAGCTCCACACATGTGGTTGCCGTGGAAACATAAAAAATATAAGGAATTTAAATGGATGTGCAGGTTTCATAAGCATAGACTGTGGAGCAAGCAAAGGCTATGTTGACGAACTAACTGGGATTTCGTATCAGACAGATGAAGACTTCATAGAAAGCGGAACCAATCATGAAGTACCTCCCAGCTTTAAAGTCAATGATCAGCCATACATACAAAGACAGCTTGACACGCTGAGAAGTTTTCCAGAAGAAAAAGGAACTGTTACACCCTGAGACCGAAACAAGAAACCAATCAGCAGAAAGAAAAGTACATGATCAGAGCCGTGTTTTCATATCAGAATTATGACTACAAAAACCAAGCTCCAGAGTTTGACCTCTACCTGGGGGTCAATTACTGGGACACAATTCGATTCGGTAAAGACAATGATGCTCAGTATCGTGAGATAATAATCCAACAGGTCACCAATGGCATTGTGCAAGTGTGTCTTGTACACATCGAAGAGGGCACACCTTTCATCAACACTTTGGAATTAAGGCCATTGAACAGCTCTCTTTATCCCACACCATTTCTCTTATCTCTTGAAGTGAGGAGAGATTGTGGCGCTGAGCGTAGATATTTTGTCAGGTACAAGGACGATGTGTATGATCGCTTGTGGCTCAATTCTAACGTTCGGGATCTGAAAACAAGTACACAAGTAAAACTACTACAGAACTCTACTTATGAGTTGCCGTCAGACATATTACTCACTGCATGTCTGTCCAAATGATTCCCATCTCTTGATTAATGGAACTTGGAATTTCAATCGTGATAAGCAGTTTTACTTGTTTCTTCATTTCAATGAGATTCAAAAGCTTCCTTCTGGACGAAAGAGGATTATCAATGTGACTGTTAATGATGGGAATTCACTCTCTCAGGACTTGCTCTTGAGTACTTGAAACCTGTAACCCTAGTTTCCAACATGATAACTGAAAATTATGTTAACTTCAAAGTCAGAAACAACAGTTGATTCTTCTGCTCCTCCTATCCTCAATGCCTTTGAGATTTTCAAGTCATCCCAGAACTCAAATCTCCTACTAACACACAAGACGGTATAGCTATTAAATTACTTCCATGTTGATTGATTTTGCAATATTCATAAAATCAATATATTAAAAGAAAGAAAAACTCAACGGGGTGTTCGTTTGTTTTATTATTGGAAATTATGCAGTTAATGCCATCATGGAGATCAAGAGTACTTATGGGGTCTCCAAAAATCATTGGCAAGGAGACCCATGTGTGCCATCTAACTTTGCATGGCAGGTGTGAATTGTAGCTCTGCTGGCAACAATTCAAGAATCCTCTCATTGTAAGTGGTGCTGTACCCGTACACTAATTTATGATCTGCAAGATATATGAACCATATAGTGTGAGGATTTTAATTATAATCGTAACATGACACAATCTTGAGTTAATATGGCAGTCAGATATATATATTATATATATATGTCAACCTAAAAGCTGTAGATTCTATTTTTTGTTTCTCTCCTTTAGTAATACATGTATGGTGGGCAAACTTGTTAACTATAATAAAATTGTAGGAACTTGAGCTCAAGCAAACTCGAAGGACCTATTGATGAATCTTTCGCCAGTTTGGAAAGATTAGAGTCCTTGTAAGTTGTTATAAGATAGGCTATGAACATATTAAAATATTCTAGTAGTATTGAGCATATTTTTGGATATTTTGAACAATAGTAACCATTTGTTCATAGGGATTTGTCAAACAATCAATTGACAGGAGAACTACCAGAATTTCTCGCAGCTCTTCCTAATTGAAATCATGTAAGACCTTATATATATTGCATTTCATTGATTTCCTGCGACGAATATTGTAAAGTCATGCATGTATGTCAAAAATCCATTATTTTCTCTCTTTTGTCACCTTGCAGTAACGTGACTGGAAACCAGTTCACAGGTCCAATTCCCAAGGCTTTGAGGGGAAATGCTAATTTGAAGCTCAGGTTACTTGTCCTCGTTATCAAACTCAGATTCTAGCTAGCTTATTCCTGTTTGAGAGCCAATTGGAGAAAGGAAGAAGAAAGAGAACAAATTGGATAAAATTATTACCTAGCTATATCTAAATTATCAATACTCTAAAAAGTTTGGAGTGCATAGAAAAAAATGCCTTTTATTTTGCATGAAGTAAAACCTTTCTAGGACATAAAATTATATTCCTAATTAGCATCATGTCTAGATCAGTAACCATAATATAAGTCATCAATATATATTGTGATAATGGTTATCTTTTAATATTATTCATACATATACTTCGGCCTCATGAATAATTATTCTATAATTATTTTGTTTACACACAACCTCTCATATGCATGACTCCCAAATTTAGCTGCGATATCTGTGGAAAAACAGTGTGCAAGTCATATATGTTATTCACTTCGAGATTCATTTGTTGACTTATACTTCCTCTTTCTATTCTACCTGCAGTGCAGCCAACAATCCAGGCCTTTGTGAGACAGAATCATGTGACAAAAGACCCAAGTTTGTAATTCCCCTTGCAACATCAATTGGAGTTTTGGTCCTAATCATGATTCTTTCTTTGATGATTTGCAGACTCAAAAAGAACAGACAAGGTAATTATTTTTATATTATCTGTTGTCATTTCACTGGAAATGTAACACTCATGCTCTATATAAATCTTTGCACATCATATTAATGACAAGTAGAGATGTGTTTTTGCAATTCTTGCATGCTAATTATAATTTCACTTTGTGTAATCTTTGCTATGAGTTTCTTGACCTAAGAAGCTAATCTCTTGACTCAAGTTACTTTACTTCATTGTGAAGTTTCAAACGTACATTTGATATAATGATGCAGGCTTGTCTACAAAATCCCAGAAGTTGGAAATTCTAAAACAAAGAACCGAGAATTTTCTTACTTTCAAGTTCTTCATATCACCAACAATTTCAAGACTCTTATTGGAGAAGGAGGATTTGGGAAAGTTTACCTTGGTACTTTAGAAGATGATTCTCAAGTTGCAGTCAAATTACTTTCTCCATCATCAAAGCAAGGATACAAGGAATTTCAATCTGAGGTTAGATATGAGTGTCATGTGTAATTTCAAAGCTTTTTATTTATATGCAAATTAGGTACTTGATCTCTTCATTATGATGTTAGAGCTAATTACTCTTGACTTATTATAGGCTCAACTATTGACGGTTATTCATCATAGAAACTTAGTTTCGCTCGTTGGGTATTGTAATGAAAACAACATCAAGGCATTAATTTATGAATATGTGGATAATGGAGACCTTGGCCAACTCTTAGGTATGTCATATTTTGTGCTTTAAAACTGCAATGTCACTGGTGTAATTTTCTTGGGATTTTCATGTCTTAAATACAGTTATATAAGATCTCATTTATCGAACATAAAGGCAATATTTATAGTACATATTGTATTTGGACTCGAACTACTCAATCGATTTTAATTTCTGTAGTTGATCTGGTTGATCAAACACTTTGAATAGTCGCATGTGTGATGATATATGGTTCCTTTTTATATATTGAAACACACCCTAAGAGACAAGTGTATGTTTTGTAGAGCGCAACTCAAAAGTTTTGAAGTGGAATGAGAGACTTCAAGTTGCAATTGACACAGCAAAAGGTGACAAAACTACTATATTATTAATGTATCTTTGCTTGTCAATACAATTTATTAATTTTTTTTCTTTCTTAAAGAATAATTTGGTGGAGTTGCAGGATTGGAATATCTTCATACTGGTTGCCATACTCCTATAATTCATAGAGACCTGAAACCATCCAACATTTATTAAATAAATTTATGGTAGCCAAGATTGCTGATTTTGGACTATCTAGAGCCTTTACAAATGAAAGAGATTCTCATCTATCAACTCAACCTGCTGGTACTCCTGGTTATATGATCCTGAGTAAGTGTTTCTATCATATCAATGAAAACATTAATAAATTTGCTTAAGAACAAGAGACAACATAATATTAAGTTTTAATTTGTAGATACTAGTAATATTTAAAACCAATAAATTATACCAACAAAAAATGTATGTAGTTAACCTAATTAATTGTTATATCCTTTGCAGATTCCAAAGATCTGGACAACTAAATAAAGAAAGTGATATTTATAGTTTTGGAATGATTCTTCTTCAGCTAATAACTGGTCGTCCTCCAATTAAGAGAGGACCTAAAAAATATTAGTTTCATTCTTGATTGGATTCAACCTAAAATTGAATGTGGGAATATTGAAGGCATTGTTTGATCCAAGATTAGCTAGAGAATTCTATGTTAATTCAACATGGAAAGCAGTTGAAGTAGCAATGTTATGTGTCTTACCAATATCAACCCAAAGGGCAGACATAAGTTACATATTGCAAAACTACATGAATGTTTAGCTTTGGAGATGCATCATGCAAGAGCATTCATAACACTATGCCAAGCAGTTCACTTGATTATAATGTGAACAGTGAAACAATGACTATTCTCTCTGCTAGATAGTCACAGATATATTTTTGCTAAAGAATACTAAATTTCATGTTTGTACGTTACAAGGACCATTGTATATACAACTCTCCTCTTTGAATAATTATGGTCAAAACATAGTCTACTCTTGATTACATGTTGATGAATTAATAATGTGATGTGGATATAATTGTAATTAGGGTGAAAGGGCAAGAATGCCTTGAAACTCTTCCTCCAAGGACGTCTAGTATCCTAAACCTTTTTTAGGAGCGTTGTTGCTCTGAAACTATCCAAAATGGTGCCATGTTACCTTACTGTCAAAGTTAACCATTTGTTCTCATTTGTTTGACTTGACTTACACGTGGCAGACACCTAGCATTTTGAAAATATTAAAAAAAACAAAAGAAACACATGGCCTCTCGTCTTCTTTAGTCCTCTTTCTTGCTTCTTCTTCTTCTTCTCCAATAAGCCCCCTCCTATTTTCGATCAAGGCCTCCTCAGCTCAAAACTCAGACACTTTGTCATCGTCCTTGAAGAAGGAAACCTTACCTAAGACATCGAGGGTGAAAAAGCCTTTGCTCTTCTTAATGATACATAACCCTAATGAAGAGAATCTGATAATCTAATCCCCAAATTGAATCAAGCTTGGATGGAATTGTCAAGGGAAAGAGAATCTCCAACTAGGGGCTACTGTAATAACCCTAAGTTTTAAGTAAAATTAAAAAGATATGATTATATGTTTTAAGTGTATTATATATATATATATCTATATATAAACAAATATTTTTAAGAAAAGGGGTTGATCTATTGGAAGTTATGTTAATAGCTCATCTAATAGGTCCTTAGTTCGAATCTTACGTGCCATTAGGGGTATTTTATTTTTATTTCAATTTTGGTAAACTTACAAAAACTGCCCTCTTTTTAATTAATAAAAAATAATAAATAGCATTAGATTTTAATTCATTTTCTCCAGATCCTTCTTTAATCAACCAGAAAATTCAAATCCTAAGCCCCTGCATCTCTTGTCTCTTTCCTTCTCAGTTTTTGCTATCATCTTCGTCACTTATCTAATTGCTGGCAACCATGGAGTACTTGTTACAGAGGCATGCATGTCGTCTCTTTGTTTGCTGCTCTGTCTTCCCTGTTTGCTAAACCATTTTTCTTCATCCTTGTCTATGCTGATAGTGGCCGTGGGAAGCTAAACTATTGAAGAAGTAGTGCACGAAGGAGCTTGAGTTGTTGTTGTTGGAGCTTTTCATCATCCTCTTCTCTTTCTTTCTTCGTTGCCGTAATAACAAGAATTCTTCATTCCCCTATTCAGTGCAAGTTTTGATTTCTCCTTCCTTTCTCCGTCTTTAGTTGGCAATATGAGGTATAGAAGCTTCAAGTCATTTTCTTTCTTCTTATTCCATGTATATGTCACACCCCAATACTAAGGATGTGATCAGCATAAAATATGATGTGAACTCATATTCCATAAGCCTTAATTAACTAGAAATTAAGTTAAAATATTTGTATATGTAAGTTGTATACAATAATAAAGTTCATAAAGTTTTAAACATTTTGTGAAAATTTTGACAAAGTCTCCTATATAATTTGGACTTCCCAAAAATTCCAAAGCAATAAACCTATCAACCAAACCAGCAAGGAGACTAGCTCCATTCTAGCACTTTACATTATACAAAATAAGATTAGGACTTAACTATGGTACATGTAGAGCACTAAGCTATGATACAAAAAGAAAATATATAGTTTTACTAAAATAATGATCACGATAGGCTTCCTCTTTTCAAAAAAACAAAAGCGTCCCTTAATGATTTGCCAGAGGCACATAGTTAGCTAATATTTGAAATTTAAAAAAATTACCAGTGAGCAGTGTTCCAATGAAATTATAATTTAAAATATGCATGCATGCATGCATACATACATACATACATACATATAATATTATATATTAAAGGTAATAACTAATAAATTTAATTCAAAATGACTTAATGAAATCATGAAACATATACTTTAGCTAATAATAAATAATAAGTTTTCTCAATAATATAATCGCAAAATTAGACAATGCTATCAGAATCACATAAGTTTATTAAAATTTGTACTACCCATAATAAAATAAAAATTTTCAATAATGGTTGCAATTAGATAAAATGCTTTTGGAGAACTAATCTAAAAATAAAAATCTTAATTTAAATCTAGGAGGGTTGTATTAGAATGAATAACAAGCGTGGACACACGGTCCATAAAGGTAAATAACTAATCAAGTATAGCTCAAAGCCATGAAATAAGCATGGCGAAAGCCACAAATCAAGCAATCAAGTG